TATATATATATATATATATATATATATATATATATATATATATATATATATATATATATATATATATATATATATATATATATATATATATATATATATATATATATATATATATATATATATATATATATATATATATATATATATATATATTTTTTTTTATTTTTTATTTATATATATATATATATATATATATATATATATATATATATATATATATATATATATATATATATATATATATATATATATATATATATATATATATATATATATATATATATAGGATATAAATATAAAGGATTAAAATATTACAAAACATATTATTTTCTAGCCTACATAAATATAAAAATCACTGCCTTCATGCCTTCTTCATCTCGGGAGGCTTTTTCAGTTCATTCATAACAATTTACTTTTGTATAATGTTATTATTACTAGCAGTATTATTTATTATATCCATATTTATATTTGTTTTATTAAATACAAGTTTAGATTTGTCCACCTGTCAGGTTTTAGATCATATGGGGCACAGCATGTGTATTAGGATATAACTCAGGTGTTTGAGCACACTTCATTATTATTGTTCATTTATTCGTTTGCTGAAAATTAGAACTGAATTTAGAAATAGTTTTGAAACAAATATTTGCGCTTAACAAACGCAATTAATTATTTATAGGTTAATTGATGTTTGTGCGTACAAGGTTTCCCTATTCACAAGAGCGAAAGTGAAAGTAGATTATTTATCTCTCATTCTCACGCTGTAGATGCTCGGTTTAACTGTTTTCTTGCTAGTGAAATGCTCAGTTTTTACACTTACACTTACTTTACGTCATGTAAATAGCAAATGCGCTTATGGCGCGACACAACTGGCTCTTCAAGGAAAGGAAGATCAGACTCTGATTGGTTTATTCTCAAAACACACCCATAACTCATTAAGAAAATAAACTCAACCCTTTTAGACCATGCGGCATGGCGCAAAGCAGATTTTCCCTTCTTTAAATCAGCAAAAGTGTATTTTGACACGCCCTGAATGCGTTTGCACTCTGCGCTTTGCACTCTGCGTATAGACCGCCAAAATAGAGCCCAAATTGTTTTGGCAAGCATTGGAACTTTTACTTGAATATGATTGTCCAGTCCTATGATTTCTGAAGGGGATCTTCTGTATTAGACACTCACTGGTTCAGACAGGGTGTGTAGGAGTTCTTGTCCTCTTCTATGATGGAGACGATGAGGGTGATGAGTTTGGACCAGAAGTCCAGGTTCTTGATGCTCGGACCCTGTTCTTCAGGTGGAACCGTCTTTGACTGGACAGAAAAACAGACCAGATTTGCATACCTGTCAACACTACCAGTTTTGCTGGGACTATTCCGTATTTTACCATTCTATCCTGCTGTCATCCCATTTAAGTATTTTCCCATATTTCTCCTGTATTCTTGATCTTTCTATGAAAAGTGAAAGTAGCATTAAAGAGCTGATCTCAAATGTGATATATTTGCAAGGGCTGTTCAAGATATTTAAAGAGTCACGAAACCCCAGAGCACATGTTTTGAGCTGTTGACAGTCGTATATGTGTCCCACACTGCTATAAACACTATTAGCACACATATATTACACTGAAAAATGTAAATGTGTTGTTTTTGCGTTGTTAAGAGCAACTTCCCTCTTCCAGTTACAATTTTTTTAAGCTGCGTCACGCCGAACCAAACCAATCAGCGTGCTCTATTGTGTATGAGGTGCAGCTTCATTAATCTGCATGATAGCTTCGAAGACGACACGTTGTGTTGCCAAAACAAGAGAAAGAACAAGAATTGCTCAGAGACACGGGTTGTCAGTGTTGCGTTTATAAATGTGCTGCAACGAAGGTTTTGTTTTCATTTTCTGCTATGAGAGTGCAGCGTGTGAAATACAGTGGTCTGCTAACACGCAACAGAAATAGGTTTGTACGGAACATCTTTTTACCCGAGAGCTTTTCTCATCTGGAAATGGTGAAATAAAGATTCGCCGCTCGTCTCCTTTTAATAAAGATGCGATCGCTCCAGATGGTGTTGATTGTTCTGTCTCTACAGATTTGGTAAGTGTGTGTGTGTGATCAGTGCTCTTTGTTTGTTTACTCAGAGGCAAAGTTAGGTGGTATCGTCAGGAGTACTCTTTCAGTGTTTAAAGACAGACCAAAGTCAAAATGATTTACTCAGTTTACAGTACGTTAACATTAATACATATTATGAGCTGAAGGAGCCGCTGTAAATTCGGCTCTCCGAGTGTAAACATGTAAACACTTTAAACGATTGTCGTCGTGACAGGATAGTCCATACACACACAGCTTTCTAATGTTACCTACCGAGTGTTTCTAAGTTACCGAGAAATGCGGAAGGTTTTTTTTCTCGCATATGCCATGCGGTATCAATCATTCCATAAAGTCTACACTCTTCCAGCAGTTCCTCGCATCCAATATCTCGTTTGTCACGAGGGCCATGCAGGTAATGTTCCTGAATAAAAATGAAAGTACCAAACTGCAGTTAGAGTCCACAAATTAATAATTTGGCAAATAATTTGATTACTGATGTCCATGTTAATAGTCACTGTCTGTTTCCTCTGCGTCTGTGTGTTTGTTTTGCCTCTGTGAAAATCAGCGCGTGTTCGATCCGAAACTCCCATTTTTATGCATGGCCATTAAAGAGTCATGACACCCCCTACTTTCGGTTAAAGTCTACTTCAGAATTTTTTAAAAGATGCATGATTAATGGGCGTGCAGCTCCACGAGTATAGGGCAGGAGTGGGCAGGGCCAGCAGGGGAGAAAGGGGAGGAGCAAACAACTGATGTCAGTCGGCTCACAAAATGAGACGCAAACCGTGAGGAGATGCATGAGTTTATTACAAAGTTAAAATGCAAAGAAATAAACAGTAATTGAATGCCCTGCTACATTTGTTATTCGTAATTTCATATGCAGATAACCACAATTTATATCATTATAAAGATAACCGTGTTCTTATAACCACTATAAATGAGGACTTCTCCCTCAGAGAATCAGAGGTCTGAATGCAGACTCAGTGCCGTCTCCTGACCTGTCTATTTTAACCATTAGCTCTGCTGGTAATCTAGAGGATTTAGGCAAACACAGCAGCATGGCGATGTGTCTAAATGTGAACAAACTCCTGATAAAAGACAACGTCCGCCATTCTCCAACTCTCGTATGCTCTCCTGACAAAAATGCTTGCAGCACACACACAGCTTTGCTGTATCGACCCTGACATGATCGCGGGAAAAAAAAGTGCAACAAACCCCGTGGATCATGGAAACAAACACATACGAGCCTTCATGAACGGCTAAATAATGTGTGCCGTGGCCGCGGGTCCGTGTCTCACAGCTTGCTAGCAGGTCTGCCTTGCCTTCGGAAAGCACATGCTCTCATGAATAATTAAGCAGCCGGCTCTTCTCATAGGATAAGAAAACTCCGCTATGAATAATAATGAGAAACCGACGCGTCATGATTGCACTTGCAGTTATGTGCTCCGTCCCCAAATTTGATCCCGCCCCAAAAATCATTTTAAACCCGGAAGCTGAAATTAGCTTACAAAAGCTCAAAATTACCCAGTTTTCCCCACAATTAAAGCTGACAGGAGCTAACATTGTCTTAACTGATGCTCAACACACACACATCTGTTAATATTTAAAAAAAAAAAAGTTCTCCAGGGTGTCCTGAACCTTTAAAGGTATTGCTTTATTTTGGCTTGAAAGCATGTTGAAATTAAAACAGCCGCTTTCACTTTATTTCCATTCAAGCCATACGTTGCCCTTCCTATGCAGCCTCTGATTCAGTCAATTCATGTAATGATGCTGACTCACAGGTGCACTCCTTAGTGATAGAAAAACTGTTCCCAGGTCAGAGTCTGTACACGTGATTTGAAGAGGAGCGAAAGTGGATATTTTTAAATTTGGGTGTGATTTGAAATCCACAAACACAGTGAATATTGTGTGAACATGTCAGTGCATGTTTTATTTTAAACACAAATAATTTTGTCTTAAATGAGCAGTTATGAAAGTGATCGAATGCTTTTATCATAGATTTGAAATCTTATAGATCTGTATATAATCATTGAAGTTAATTTCCTCCCCGTATTTGTAATTAGACTTAAATACAATTAAACTGCTCTGAATTAACAGATTAAGTAGTTGGAGGTCATTTTGGGAGTTCTTCTGGGTAGGTTTTTTTTGGGGGGGCTGGGGGGGTTGTTGGGTCATTTGTACATTTACTCCAATGCATTTATTAATGCTTTTGATTGGTTTATTATATTTCATGCAGATTCTCTGCCCAACAAAATCATCCCAGTCAATCTAAAATGACAACAACTTTCCAAAGAAAGAAATTCATTTCATCTGGTGAAAATAAACTCAATTATGCAATATGTATCGCAGAAAAATGTAACGCATGCACACACACACACACACACACACACACACACTATGAAATGTACTCACAGGGTCATTCTGATACTCTCGGCTGTAGAGCTCGTGGCAGTTATTAAAGATGTACTCATATGTGGAGTTCAGACAGGCTTTAACACAGTCTTTCACAACCTGACTCGCTCTCGGAGGACTCTGCAGCTCCTGAACCTGAAGACACACACAGACCAGCGCTTGTTATTCTCAGGAATAGGATTAGAGAATGTAAAAAAGCCCCTATTTTGCACAAATCACTTTTATAAGTGGTTTAAACACAATTACGTGGGAACAGTGTGTGAATATATCCAGCCTCGAATGGGAAACATGAATTATTTCTATTTCTTATAATCAAACTTGATGAAATCAGTCTGCACAAACACTTTGATTGACATTCTCCCTTTTGTACATGCCAACAAAAAGCCCCGCCCATTAGTGCCCATCTCCCCCTCATTAGCATAAACAGCAGCCCTGAGTGAGAAGCAGCCGTCAATTGCGTGCAAATACAGACTTCCACACCTAGACGCTTGTTTCAGAACCTGTCTTGTTTGCCCAGTTAGCGCGGTCTCAGATCGCCTGAATGAGGTGGTCTTGGCAAAACTGAAATGAACTCTGGAGTGGATCAATTGTTGTGAGAAATCAAAACAATCCAACAAACTGACGAACCAGGCTATATCACAGTGTATTATGGTTGTGTAATAGCCATATGGCTACATGAAGAGTGAATTTATGAGTAGGGCGGGATGCCATACCTATCTATAAATGTGCGTTTCCTGTTAAATACTGAAGTGAAAGCATGCTGAAATATTACCGAGAGCTGTTTATCCGTTAGGAAAATTGACTGATTTACCATCTGATTATTTTTCCATATTTTAGGCTTATATTATGTTGTATTTGGCCTGTTGATTTGTTAATTTCTGCACCGACACCTTCAAAGAAAGAAAAACACTGATCTGCTTTATGATCTGACTGCACCCTCGCTTCATCTGTTATGTATTATGTCATGTCATGTCATGTCATGTTATGTTATGTTATGTTATGGTATGTTATGGTATGGCATGGCATGTTATGT